CAGTACTCGGCAGGTGGTGGAGGTTAATGGGCAGGCTGCGTGAGAGGGGAGGAGGGAAAGAGGAGGAGGTGGCTTCCTCCTGACGCCATTTCCGAGGGGCTGACATATATAAATGAGCCGGTTGCTGCAGTGCCCCGTCTAGGATCTTCAGCCAGGACACTGGCGCAGACACACACGGCGCTGGTCTCCCTCCAGCACCTCGCCGAAGACCCCAAGCCAGGGCCAGACTAAAGCTCTGCCGATCTCCTTCCCCACACCCCGCCAGCACCATGAGCCCGAGACTTCTCGCCGTCCTGCTGCTGGCCGTGCCAGGTAAGTGTGGCTGAGCGAGCTCCGCGACCCCTCCCCCGCTCCGGGGCTCCGCAGCACTGCGGGCAGAGCCGCCCCCACCCCGCTGTATCCCCGCCGCGCGCTCCCTGCACCTCGGACAGAGACGGCCGAGGCCGCTTCAGCACCGCGGACAGCGGCTGCCGCAAGGTCACTGCCCGAGGGTCGCGCCGTGCCCTGCTAGTCCCCAGTGCCAGAGCCACCGGGCTCCCTTCCCTTCCCTTCCCTTCCCTTCCCTTCCCTTCCCTTCCCTTCCCTTCCCTTCCCTTCCCTTCCCCTCCCCTCATCAGGGGGAGGCACAGTGTGCACACCTAGGGACCACTTCAACCAGAGCTGTATTCCCACCTCCCGCACTCCCATTTTTAGCAGGATAGGATTTCTATGCTTGTCTCCCAGAGGCAGGGAATAACAAGCTCTTTCTTTTTGCCCTCTCCTCATTTTGCAGCTATCTCCCTTCCTGTGACAAATGAAATGAATAAAGGGGACACTAAGGTAAGAATAAACCTGTAGTGGAAGAGGGGAGCAAAGCTGAAGGATGTGATAATTAACCTCCACTTATTGGCTTATTCTTGGCTGCTCCTACTGAAACTCCTGTAGGAAGTGACAGCTTGGGGGGATTTGCATGAGAATTCCCCATATCAGGATCCATCCTCCCCAACTGCCTCCCTACCAGGATTTACCCTTTGCAATTCTACTTTTGGGTACTTGAGCATGATGAGCTTGGGCATTGAGGTTGGGTATGACCCTTTCTGGTCCTCCTACTTTCAGCTTTTCAAAGCTTCCAACAGGAGATGACTCAGGGGAGAGTAGGGGGAAGATATGATTCAGGAATGGGACTGTGTGTGTTTGGGGGCGTGTATACATCTGTCTGCCTTTGTATGCATGTGGTGTGTTACTTCTCTATGTACCTGAAAAATAGGCAACTGGATACTCTCAGAGTGCTAATCTGTCCTCAGCTACTACTCATTTTGTCAGGATGGATACAAGCTGTGTATGAATTGACTGACCTTTTCAGCCCTCCTTTGTAGGCTTTTGTGCCTACATCTGATGAATCTCTCTGATGTACTTCACACACATTTGCACTCCCAACTGGCTTTTGGCTGCTGAATGCTTGGCTAGCTGTGTTTGCCTGTGTTGATCTGCAGCAGAATCCTCCCTTCTCCTTCCTGATGTTACAATACCTGTATTTTTTTTCAGATGAGTTGATCTCTTTACTGTCCAAATTAAGACTTCTACAGGAGTCAATGTACGGAAAGCAAACACCAGCCCTTTCCCCTCTGCATTCTGAACCTCTTTGTTTCCTGAAATCTTCTAGCTGCAGAGAGATTTTCCCCAGGCAGCATTAGGAGAGAGCACACTTGTGTCACTCTCAGACACACATTCTAGAGTATGGTCTCTAGTCACTGTTATTTACAGAGTGAGTGCCATGAGAAACTCCTCCTCATCTCCTGTCAGATGCACCTGGCCTGAGGAGCTGTTGCTCAGCTAAGACCTTTAGCCTGCTTAGCCCTTCCAGGGCTGAGCCATTGGGTGCCTGCTTCAGGCTGTACACTGAGAAATGAGGCTCAGGCAAATGCTTGCCCCTTAAAGTGGGCTGGGCCAGAGCAGGATGCTCATTAGACATTCCATGGGAAAATCTATTAGTTCCACAATTTTCCTTGAGAGATCCATTCCATGATATGCTTTATCTGTAAAACATGGCAAGTCCCAGTAAGCTACATTTACGTTTTACAAAAACTAATGCAACTCCATGGAAATCTTTTCACCAAGGAAGAATTATCTCCCAACGGTCCTCAACTTGGGTACTGCACTGAAATGGGTTTGAGCTGAGAGAAAACTCAGACAATACCTTGGCTTTCCTTGCACCAAGGAGTTGCATATGACCACAGCAGTTACCGTATGCCTGACGTATGCTTACCCTTACATCCAAAAGGCAGTATTTCTCACCTGCAAGTATGTATTTCAGAAAGGGCCTGAGCATAGTTGAGTTCAAATGTGGTGAAGTCTTTCCTAGTAAGGCTGTGTTCCTATGAAAGTTTATGTGCAGGGACAGTGTGATGAAGTCTTAAGGATTAGTTACATGCTCGCAGTTAGAGGACAACTATGGGAAAATTTCAGTCTGAATTTCTGTACTGGATTAATTAATTCTTTTAAATTTTAATAGAACGTACAAGCAAGAGGGAGGACTGGTGGTTTTTTGTTGTTGTTGTTTTGTTTGTTTTGTTTTGTTTTTACTCGGTCTGATAGTGATGAGACAAGGCAAATTGCTTTAAACTGAAAGAGGGGAAGTGTAGGTTAGATGTTAGGTGGAAATTCTTTACTCAAAGGGCGGTGAGCTCCTGACACAGGCTGCCCAGAGAAGTTATGGTTCTACATCCCTGGAAGCATTTAAGGCCAGGTTGCATGGGGCCCTGGGCAGCCTTATTTGGTAGGGGGCAGCCAGCCCATGGCAGGAAGTGGAAGCTGGATGATCTTTGAGATCCCCACCAGCCTAAGCCATTCAATGATTTTGGAAAGGCTCTCCTTCATTTCCTGTAGGTTGTTCTATCATGACCTTTTGAAACCTTACTCTGCACGATTTGCTCTTACAAAAAGTTCTGGAAAGCGTTGGGCTGACTGCATCCCTCATTTCATTAAGTTACATTATTTCTCCACAGAGCTGCCATATTTTTGTGGTGGTTGTTACTTTTCTTTGTGCTCTGACAACGTCCTGAAATCATTTAGAAATCTTCAGGAAGTTTGTTCAAGGTGTTTCATTAGACAGGTTCTCATTTGTAATGATGAGAAACTGCCTACTTCAGGAACTGCATCAAATACTGCTGGGAAAAAAAAAAAAAAAAAAAAAAAACTCCAAAATTTGGAAAACGTAGAAAGGAAGTATCAGAATCTGGTGTTTTTTTTTTTTTTTTTTTTTTCTTCTCTTTAATGGTAGATTGAATTGTCACCAGGTCATTTAAAATCAATATTAATGGGCTGTTTGTGGTATCGGATACCAGAGAAATTTCCTTTCTTTCTTTTTGTTACATCTTTCCTGCAACATTTTAAATTCAGCAATAAATCCGCTCAAAATGTGCAAATAGATGAAGAGTTCAAGATTTCCTGTCTGTATCCTGTGAAAGCAGAATTCTCTCCTTACACAGAGCAAAAATTCGCCCATTGCGGCTGGTCGATAAATATATCCAATTGCTTGAATGAGTGACATTGTAGCTGACTGGGAATTGCTGGCTGGTGTCTAATTTCTACTGCAGCTACAGCTCTCTGCTCTCCTGAGAATGGCACCTTGAGGGAGGTGCAGGCCCTTAGGGCTGCCTGCAGAAACGATCAGCTACCCCAGCCATGCAGCACTAAGTGGCTGCCTGTGTGAAGAGCTAGGGCTGAGTGGGGATGATGAAAATTATGCCTTCTCGTTATACATGGAAGAAAAGGGTTCTGCAGAGGGCAGACCCAGTGTCTGTCCAGTCTGGAAAGCTGCCTCAGGCAGTAGCAAATGTATGTTTACTTTCTTGCCTTTAGATGACCTGACTCCACCTTCAACTCTTCCAGTTTATAACGAGTTTATTTCATCCAGGAAGTCAAGAACTTCTGCAGAGTGGGTTGCCCTTCTCTAGACCGTTAGAGCAGTATTTCTCAACTGCATCTGAGAATATGATTTGACTTTCCTCACCCTCTATGCCTGGCTGCAGTCTAAGCAGAATGTCCTCCTCGGGGCTTGAATAAGAGCTACGGACACTTGTTGCTCTCTATGGCCTCCCACTGAGTCCTTTTATGAGGTACAAGTTGAGGCACACTGACTTTAAAAATGACGAATTTGAGTTCAGTATGCATCTGTTGAGTATCTCTTTAATCATTCCTTGTGTGCAGCCTATGGGGGGGGCTGAAGTCATGAGATCCTCAGCTGTGTCAAAGTAGCTCTTTCCGCTGCCATGTGTCACTCGCTCACTGCTCAGTTTAGGGCGGTACCTTCTGTTCTTCTGTTAGGTAAAATGGGAACTGAACATTCCGTTCTGGATCCATCAGAAAGGCAAAAGGATCTGTGCCATCATCTGCTGCATTTCAGCCTAGATAACAGATTGATTTAAGAAAAAAAAAAAAAAAATCAAAGAAGCAGTGCTTTCGTTTGTATTTTGTCTCCTTCTAGGTGATGAAGTGCATTGTGGAGGTCATCTCTGATACTTTATCAAAGCCAAACCCACTGCCGATCAGTGAGGAATGCCTAGAGACGCTCAGAGGAGGTACAGATGTTAATTCTGGGTATCGGCAAGAGGGGATCAGGCTGAGAGAGAATCAGGGTCTTGTTCTCCATGGCCCAGCCTGACACATGCTCTGGCAACTGGCAAATGGTCCCCAGCAATTTCACCTTCCTCGTGGTCACCCCACTGAGCCTCCTTCCTGCCAGGCACAGAGTCAAGAGATGAGGCAGCAAATCAGGCCAGGGGACAGAAAGGAGTAAATGAGGAGGGAGATGGAATTCGGAGTACTTTTGTATTTCCTAAGGGTGGTGGAAAGTTGTCTTTGATCACATTCTGTACCAAGTCTCCCCTATTGCAGATGAACGAATCATTTCTATCCTTCGCCACCAAAATTTACTGAAGGAACTTCAGGAAATTGCGGCTCAAGGTACAGTTTTACTACATTTGCTTGGGGAGATAGATTTCATCGGTTGTAGCTCCTTGCACAGTTCTCGTAGTTTTATTTTACATTAATTTAACATCATAAAAATGAGTCATAAGGAACATAGTTCCAGGATTTCCAGTGAACACTGCAAGTGCAGGGATACTGTTCTTACAATAACTCTAATATGTATCTGATGAGTTAAATAACCTGCAGCATAACTTAGTGGCCATGTACAGTTTTCCTAGACAATGTAAATATTTTGGGGTGGGAGAGAACTATTCACAGGTCCCCAGTACAAGACTGCAGGTTGCAGGCAAGGCACATTCAAAGCTGGTGAGGATCCCAGCCACGTGGTCCAGCTGAAACTGCAGCTGCCTGCCTTCCTGCCTTCTCCTCCTGCATGGGTTACTCAGCTGGCAGTACTGCCTTGCCAGGGCATCCTTGTGCCCTGGTGGCACAGCAGGCTGAGATGGCTGCCTAGGGAGTAGGGAAGCCACAGAGGCAGCAGGGAGAAATGAGAGGGAAAATGCATATCAAGGTTAAGAGAGAGCTCTGTGCAGCTCCCAAAGCAATAATTTGGTCCTTGCCTAAATCCTATTGTGTGGGGACAGCAGGCAGTGACCCAGTTGGGCTCCAGAGGTGCTCTGATGATCCAGAAGAAAGAAACCTGAGCTTCTTCCATGCTGTGGGTTGCTACCCAGGCAGACCAGGTTGTGCAGGATGTGTTCTACTGCCATACACACTATACAACACAATGGAGCTCCAGCTTGCTCTTTCCTTGACTTAAACCCATCACACCATTTTGTAATGATGTAACATGAGCTCTCACCAAGGGATCAGTGACTGAGAGTGGGATCCCAAGGGAAAAACAAAGGTTCCTTCCTTGCTCTCCTCTGTGCTGGCTTCAGCTGTTCCTAATCAGCCTGAAGAGCCCACACCCTTGCAGCCCTGCCCCTTGTAGGTCCAGAGATAACTGAGCCAGCACTGTTATCTCTGGCCTTTAAGTTGTAGAAACAGGCTATGAGCTGGGTTAGGCATGGCTTGCTGAGTATGCTGATTCCATTGGGATGGCGCAGTGTGGGGAGCACTGCTTGCCAAGACAACTGTGCAGTGGTCCCAAGCTCTGTCCTTGAGCTCAAAACTGTCTTCAGATGCCTTCATGAAGCCAGCGCTGATGGAGAAGGTCCCATCACCAGGTGGGAGGGCACAGGGGCTCCCAGTGCTCACCTCAGGTATGTGGACAGCATTTGGAAGAAGGCAATTATTATCCTTCAGTACTCCAATACTTAAGTATTTTGTTGGCCTCAATGTGCTGCAGCTCAGCATCTCCTATTCCCTAGTTCTCCATCAATATTGCTGTTTTCCTAGCAACGTTGCCTCTCTGTTTTCACAGAGACCTTTTTATTCCTGCAGATAATGTTTTTGATGATGGCTTTGTTACCACGGTTGGTTCATGCATCCCCCGTTTTACAGCTCCCCTTTGGCAGATTTGTCCACTGCAGAAAATACACACAGAATTATAAAGAGCACAGCTATTTTGCTATCTGTACACTGAAAGTACAGAAAGTGCTGCTTTTTGCTACTTTTTGTTATCCAATACAGGTGCCAATGAGAGAACTCAGCAGCAAAAGAAAAACAGTGGCTTTGAAGATGAACTTTCTGAAGTCCTTGAAAGTCAGAATGATGAGAACAAGCAAAGAGGTCAGTGTCAGCCTCCTGCCGGGGAATCCAGGCAGGCTGTAAACAAGGATGTTCTTTCTGACAGCATTGGTGTGTCCATCTGCTCCTCATCTTCTCCTTGGGTGTCACATGCACCAGCAACCCTGTGTTTGCTTTGGTCTGATATACCAGATAAAACAACATGGCACTTCTGCTTCTGAGCTGTGGTAACCAGTGATGTTCAGGTTGCCAATGTGATAGTGATTCCCTCCACCTTGCAGCACCATACTTAGTGCTTAGGATGAGTCATGACTCTGTCCTGAAAGAGATGCAAGAGCAAGGTGGGTCTCTCTTACAGCCTGCTTTGAAAGACATAAAGTTATGGTCCCCAAAGTGAAATTTGAGTTCAGTCCACACACACACAACGTACCATTATCCTGAACATTATCCTGAACAGGCCACATTTAGCCGATTTGGAGGCGTGCAGTTCTGCAGGAAGAAGGGTTAGTCCACTGCTATCGTGCTGGGAGGAGGAGATGCCCATGAGGGGTGTAATGGTTTTTCACCCAGACTCCTGTTTGTGAGATGAGCTCTCAGGAGAGGTGTTGCTTCTCATTCCTCTCTGCAGATGTGGCACAACAGCACCCTGAGGAGGAGCAGCCCACAGCATCCCTGGCTGAGCTGGCAGCACAGAAAACCCAGCAAAAGGAAGATGTGAGAGAAGAAGGAAAAAATAGCCTGGAGGTAGGGGAACCTAGGCTGCAGGATGCCAGCCCTGGTGAGAAGGATGATCAGGACGAAGCAGAGAGCAACGAGATCAAGGATGCAGAAGATGCGCGAGGAGAAGCAGATTTGGATAACCATGTTGACAAAGATCTGGGTGAGGATGAGCAACAGCAGCGAGGGGAAGGAGAGGAGCAGCGCAGAGGCCCCAGAAACAGCCTGGAGCTTGAGGAGGAAGGAGAGCAGCCATCCAGGCAGGGCCAGGGGCAGAGCAAGGAGGAGGCAGCAGAGGAGCGTGTGGAGCAGGAGGACGATGGAGAAGATGCTCCTGGAGAGGAGGACCCTACTGAAGCAGAGAGATTACTTGATTTGGCTGAGGAGGATGGGGAGGCAGAGGAGATGCAGGAAGATGATGGTATGTATCTTGTATGACTGTGCTGATACCTATCCAGGGTGAGATGAGAGTGCTGAGACAAGCTGATAAGAGGCTTTAGACCCTAAAAGTTCAGGCAGGTGCTTATCAGGTTTACAGAAATATCCCCAGTGACAGGTACCCAGAATCCCTGAACACCTGACCCATGGGCATGGCAGTAGCACAGACATTGCAGCCGCCTTGCTGTGTGCTGCTCATTTGTCACGTGGGGACAATTCCTTGCCTTTCTTTGAAATCCTCTGTGATTTTGACTGTTATCTCCAGCCCGCATTACTGAGACAGTGACTTGAGAGTGGATACCCCAGAATCCTGGGGAAATGGGGACTAAGTCACCTTACATCACCTCTGAAGTCTTGGTTCAAAGGTGGAGCTCAGCCAGTTAAAGTTCATGCTTAAAGTTGTGTGTTATGCTCTTTCAGGTAATGATGATGCTCTGGGATTTGGCAAAGATGAGCAGAGCTCTGAGGAGGAGGAAGAGCAGCCACGTGTACTGAGACGAGGAAGGCATCGCCTGGAGGATGAGGGAATGCAGGCAGAGGAGGACACCTTCCGGTCCAGGGATGCCAAAAGTGAGGAAATGGAGGATGAGTCCTCCAGGGAGTGGGAAGACTCCAAGAGGTGGAACAAAATGGATGAGCTGGCCAAGCAGCTGACATCAAAGAAGCGCATGGAGGAAAATGACAGTGGAGAAGATCCAGACAGGTCCATGAAAATGGCATTCAGGTCCCACAAGTATGACTTCAGTAGCCCAGAGGAAGATGTGAGAAGGTCATGGAAGCATCACTCAAAGGAGGACAGCAGTGAAGGATTTCCACTTGCTCCCATGCCTGAAGAAAAGAAGGATGAGGAAGGCAGTGCTAACAGGAGAACAGAGGTTGGTTTATGTAGGCTTAAGTCTGGTTAAGTCCTGTCTGGTTATTACTTTGGAATCCAAACTGTGCTAATGGAAGATAAGGATGATGCCTTACTGTTATGCAGCCCATGTTGGTTCTCTGTGACATTAAGGGGATGTTTGGTGATTTTTCCAGTTTTTCAGACCTGGGTATTATTGAGGTTTCCACTGGTCTATGCCTTTGTTTCTTTCCTAGATTTAGTAATTAGCGCAAAAATATTCCTTGTCCTAGAGAGCTTTAAAAATGTGACAAGAGCACTGTACTGGCCTGTGCTGGACACAGTGACTAGCCTTGGTGTGGGTTCTGTGTCTCTAATCCCCTTCAAGTTACAGGATAGTCAATTCTGTCCCAAGCTCAGGTACGGGGTGAGCAGTTTCATACCTCCTGGGGAGGCAAACCAGGGACAACTGTGATGGGAGAGCAGGTGTTAGAGTGGAAATGTCTGCAAGGAATGTGAGGCTGTCTGAATATGCCTCATTCCCCCATGCCTCGTGTGATGTTATGCAACAGCTCAGCATGTCCCCTGGCAGCCAGGAGCAACTGTTTCTGTTTTTTTGGTGTTGAAGCCCAGCTCTAGTTTATATGAGCCACAGAGGGCTGAACACAGGGGCTGGGAATGGGTTCTGCAGTGCTCTGGGACAAGCCATGCTCAGGTGCCCAGGAACGTAGCCAGTTTGCTGCATTTTTCTTGCCTCCAAGACACCATTTTTGCCTTAGTAATGCAGAGGAGTGTTGCCCAAAAGTTACCCACCAGCATCCATAGGGGTGTCACATTGGTTGAAAGCAAAGTTAAATGTGTTGGCTCTGAGCAAGGAGAGAGCATCTGCCCTTCTGCCTCCTGCCATCATCTGCTTTTGGGGAAGGTCTCTTCCCCCCAGAGGGCTGCTCCCCCCTAGCCCAAAGCCCTTACAGCATCTCTGGGAGCACTTCATCCTTCTTGGTTAAAAGCAGTGTGTGTTGTATGGAGGAGGTCTACCCTGCTGCTACTGGGAAACTGGGACTGAATGGCCCAAATAGCTCCACGTGCGCTGGCAGGGACTGAGGCAACACTGCCGTATCTCCCCATTGCAGCAGGCAGTGAAATAGGCAGGTGGCATGGCTGCAGCCACACTTCCCACCCTATCACTCCCTGTTGCCCCATTTCTGCTCTCGTTGCAGGACCAGGAGCTGGAGAGCCTTGCCGCCATCGAGGCCGAGCTGGAGCGCGTGGCCCACAAGCTGCATGAGCTGAGGCGGGGCTGAGGGCTGGCCGCAGCCTCTCTCCACCGTGGTCTCCCTTCCCGGTCTCATGCCGAGTACGATGAGCAGAAGCACCGCGCCTTGGACGCCGGCCCCACGGGCGCCAGGCCTGCCTCCCTCGCAGTAGTGTTGTGCCCATCACCGCTTCTTGCCCCCACGCTCCTCTGTCCCCTACGGATGTCCACCTGCCCCATCGGGCCACCGTAGCCAAGAAGTGTGACCTACACCTGTATTTTCTCTCTCTTTCTTTATTTTTATTTCCTTCTTCCCCTTCTGTTTTTTAAAAGATGGGAGAGCTCTCTAGGAAGCTCTCCTCCCACCGGTAGTTTCACTGGGTAAAACTGCAATAACTTGTTACCTTTTGATTAAAAGCTGAGAACTCTGACTGTAATATATTCTATATAAAAAATTTATCTAAGGAAAAATAAAACCACGGTGGGCTCTTTGCTTTCTTTGCCAGCTTCCATGTCAGTGGGCTGCATCCCCTCCCCACCCCGGTGGCCTCCCAGCCTCACCACAACGCTTGGGTGGCTCCATGTGGCTGAGGTGGGGGCTAAGGAGTCTTAGTGTTGGGTGAACACGTGAGAATGTCAAGTTATTCAGGCATTTGTGAGTGGCTTTTAATAAGAAGTTCACAAATGGGACAGTCATGGGGAGAACCAGGACGTGGGGCCTGGAGGCACCATCCTGCCCTTCCATCCCTTCAGGCACTGCTACAGGAGCGACCATATCCGTGGGCTTAGGCAGGATACGAGCTGGAGGGCTGGGCAATCTCTGGGCTGGAGTGGTTGGCTCCTGAATGTCTGCCCAGGCAAATGTTTGGGACCCATAGACTTTCTTTGGAGGGAAGGACAGAGCTCAGGGCTGGGCAGGGCACCACCAGCAGCAGCTCTGTCCTTGGAGGTGACACAGAGCACTGCTCTGCAGGCAGTGTTTACATGAACACAGGCTGAACCTGCCTGTTGCTTAGCAAAATTTAATACTGCTGGGTGAGACATCTACCTCTCCTGCACTAGACAAAATACAACCCTGGTTAAAAATCCTTCTAGGTTTTGAGTAATCAACATTTCCCCATCAGGATCAGTTCAGAAGGCAGCACTAGGAATAAATCCTTAAGCACAGGAACAGCCTGAATCCCAGAGGTATCAAGATGTGCTATGCAGTCATTATATAAATAGCCTAATTCCCACTAGTCTTACAAATCAAAGCCAAACCAACCAAACATTGATGGAAGAGGAGAATGGCTTTAAGCTACAAGAGGGGAGATATAGGTTAGACGTTAGAAATTCTTTACTCGGAGGGCAGTGAGGTGCTGGCATAGGCTGTCCAGTGAGCTGTGGGCTTCCCATCCCTGGAGGTGTTCAAGGCCAGCTTGGATGGACCCCTGGGCAGCCTGAGCTGGTGGGGGGCAGCCAGCCCACAGCATGGGGTGGGAAGTGGGTGATCTTTAAGGTCCCCTTCCACCTAAGCCATTCTACGATTCTACACCAGCCATGTTCACTAGTAGAGCTGGTTTAAGAAAGTCCAAAGTAACAATGACACTGAGGAAGCCTCTCACACTCAGCTGCTTCCCTCGCTACCCTACCCATAAAGAGAAGGCAAAGTAAAATTTGTTATAAGGCATTTATTTTCATTATGTGTTGTAAAGGGACAGTTCTGTCTTCAAAACAAGTACAGAGAGAATGCCACAATACCTACTGCATATTGCTTTACTGTTGAAACCAAAACATTGTCCATCACAGGTGCTTGGCAAAAGAAAAAAAAACACAACATATTACCATTGAAATCATTGCTGTTAGATGAAAGCACCATCTCCATTGTCAGATCTGATCAGTCATGCAACTGAAGTAAGATGCCAAATAGCAAATATTTCTATTTTTTTTTTACAGTAAACCATGATTTTATAAGTTTTTTTAAATGATTCTAGATAAATTTAAGTACAAAATGGGAATCCCGTTTCAGAAATCATAGTGAAGAGGGCTGAAGCAAATCACAAGACGCACGTGTTAACACTGTACAGTCGGATCTGAACACAGATACTGACAAACTTGTGAAACCTGGCACAGATGAATGGTCCCCAGGCCTCAGCCATGCTTAAGTGGGGAGCACAGCTGGCAAGTGAAGGAGAATTCCAACATGATCCACATGTGAAGGGCCACTTGTCTCAGAACTGCTGGGATCCCAAGGAACTATTACTTGATTTTAAGAATGACTGCATTTTAGTATCCGGTTCTCACAAAGGTATACACAAGCCGTATCACATACTGCATGAGAAATAAATAATAAAAGATACATCTAATACAGCTTTTATTTATTTATTTTTTACAGCACTGACTTTACAAGAGGATAAACAACTCATTTTTAGGGGCTGCTAACATCTGAAACAAAGAAGTCACTATTTTATACTCAACATATAGTCAACCTTTTAATAACTTTATATATGTATATATGACTTTTCACACAAAAATGTTAAAATAATTTATATCTAAAAACTACTGTGTAAAGAATGAAGGAGGAAATAAAAAGTGGGTTTCTTTAAAAAGGATGGAAGAGGAAGACCTGAATTTCACCAACTTCATTCACTGTTCCAGCTATTTCTAGAGTTTCAAGAGATTTCCAGGCCATCAATCAGAACTTCATAACGCTCAGGAGCCCCCTGCAAACTCCAGGCATGCTGGACAAGGCCACTGCTTACTGAGCTCATGGCCCACAGACAACTGCTGGCATCAGCCCCAGTGGATTCAGGGTGAGAAAGGTGGAGAGAAAACATCTCCCAAGATTTCTGTAAAAATAATGGAGCCAACTCCTGGCCCATTGGTATTACAGTGTCCCCTGGCCAGGACTTTATCCCCAGTCCTCACCTACCTCTTCTCATCCCTCTTTTTCATCACAGAGTACATTTTTTTACAGTGATTTTTTTCCTCCACAGGGAAACTGCACTACCGGCAGCAATGGACCAGACCCCAAGAGTTCCCTGTACACACAGCAAGAACACCTTGAAGCCTGTGCTTGCTACAGATGCTATCACGCCTGTGTCACCAAGGAATTACCATTCTAACGCTTTCATCTGCACCTGGACCCTCTCAAACAGACTTTAGCAATTAGTGTGGCCATGTAAACATAACAGCATCCACAAAGAATGTGAAACCCACTCCGTCAAAAGCTCAACTTTTGATGGCTTGGGCCAACACAGGGTGAATAGGGAAAGGAAAGGTAGTGAAGATGTGGGAAGTACTTTTCTGGAGGTTACATTCCTCTGAAATAGGTATTAAAGCAATATTACAAATAAAATCAGCAATGCGTGTGTCACACATGAAAGCGAGAGGAGATTATATTAAAGGAAATATTTTAATCTACACAAAGCATTTTCGCATCCTGCTATTACGAAACACACAGCTGCAACACCATAAAGTAATTGGATACTGAATACAAAAATCAATACATCTCTGACCAGGAGGAGGGAGGAAATGAAAATCAGTGGAGTAATGCAAGTGAACTCCTGCAGTGTGCACATGGGGAGACCACTACAAACTCAGATTAGACTCTATTCACTAACAAGCCCAAACCTAAGATTTTCTGCACCACTCTGGAAGATAAGGCTGCAAGGGAGTCTGAAAAAGTCTGACCCATGGTCACCGCTGCCACACCAAGACTTTGGGGAAGCCATGTTAGCTGAATTGCTGCTAAGTCTGGAATTTCTTTTTGTTGGATGGAAACAGAAGTTTCCATTTTCCTTTGTTTTGCTGTTTTTTTTTGGTCAGTCAACTCAAACACCTTTGGCCATCTGTATTCAGTCGCTCTTGGGCTGTGCCCTGCCATTCCAACCCACACACTGCTCCATGCAATCGCTCCTAGACTGGGCACAGCCCACGGTTGGCTGAGGAACATCATCCCTCAGCTTGAGCCATCCACCCTACTTCCCTCCTCTCCCGGGGTCCCAGGGTGAGGCTCTTTGTTCGTGCCCGTCTATGAGGACAGCAGATGAAGCCGATGGTTCTTACCTGAGCAAGTTGTTGCAGATTCCTCTGTACAAACACTGACATGTTCCAAATGGGGATTTCCAAGCAAATTTCTCATTACAATGGTCTGAATAGCTCTGGAAGAGCCAGACACATCGCTACCAAAGGCAGAAGAGCCGCAGGCTAAGGGTGTCAGCGCTGGCACACGTGATCAGGCTGCACTTCTGCACTGGGTTTTCTGTATAACCCAACTGTCCTGATGCAGATACTGCAAACCCAATGTAACATGGCAGCATCGCCTAGAGGGAGAGGATGATGTTAATGGTTTTGCATTACGTGCACTAATAATACCATTCAAATTCTCTTCAGCAGGGAATAATCTTCACCTATTGAAGTCAGCTACATAATTATAGCAGAAATCACAGTCAAATCTCCTCCATCACACTGACACAAAACCTGGAGAACATTCCAGCCAAGCTAATGGTGTTCTTGTGGACTGATAACAGTGAAGCAGAACAGAAGCAGATCCATAAAAAGCTAACTGGTGACCACATCATCTTAACTTAATTGCTCCAATCAACACAGCAGCAATAGCTATGCCTCTGAAAAGACAGCAGAACCCTTTCTAACCCACAATAACAGAATTCAAACAAGACATTATGGAAAATCTCCCTCGGATTGTCTGCAATTTTAAGAGCGTGGCTAATATATGGTATGGTCTAATATTACTACATCTCCTTACTTTAAAAGAAAACAAAAACAAAAACAAAAAAAGACTATAGAACAAGAACTAAATTACTGTGAAGCTTATCATAAATCAAAGCCATCCGAAACTTATCAAATGAGGCAGCAATTCAGAAAAGCACTTTAGCACAGGCTTAATAACATATGTGTGCTCAAATGTTTTGCAGTAATGTAACTGTATGTCTGGACACGTGGTAATTTACAGTTTTGGCTTTTAAAAACTGCTCTCCTGATTGGCCCATGTGATTGGGCAGCACTAACATATGAGCCACAACAACAATTTCGGCAAGGAAATATAGCAATACAGCAATCGCATGGTAATTTAGGAGAAAACTCTATTGTAATGCCACATCACAACAGGTACTTGCATATCTGCACCTGGTAAATTAAAGTGATACAGATACATTTGATAAATAAGAAATAAATTACAGACTATGGGAAAAATGTCACTAATCACACCAATGACCTAAACTTCTTCTCTAGTTACAGCCAAGGTCTGGAGTAATATTTAAATATAGTATTTCTGTAAGCCTTCAGAGAATTACAAAATAAACTTTTAACAATCATTTGTAAACAAGTTTAAAATGCACAATTATATTTCAGTAGTTTATTTTGGAGAAATAAAGCAGTGCAAAATAGGCCAACCAAAATTCAGAAGGCAGCCAGGAAAATAAAATTCTCATTTGATGTTCTAACTAGGAAACAGCATACAGACATTTCAATTGGATCCGACACTCAGATTCATGTAAACATATTCAGTTTGAAAGGTCTTGAGTTACTAACCCAGCTTTAACATCATCGCTTTTTCCCCACCACCAAATTAAAAACAAAACAAATCAAAACAAAACAACCCCAAGCCATAATAAAGGGAGCAAAAGGCAAGTCTACAAACACTCCACCAGCTGGTTACAAGAAAGTACCATACAAAAATAAGCACTGGCAAATTTCTTCCTGAGGGTATCTTTTGTTACACACGTAACATAAAAACACTTTTTATTTTCAACAAACAGAAACAAACCCCAAACTGTAGATGTCAATTTTATTTCAGTCACGGCTTCGTGAAAGGTTTGGTCTATCATGAATACTCGTATAAACCCACACCTATGTACATCTGACTCACTCACACCACTACGACCCAGACCTACAAGCTGCACTCAATGTGGGGTTCAGCAGCCTCAAAGCATACAGGGATTGCAAAGAGAGCCCAGCCCAGGGCTGGTCTGCAACAGAATAGGAAATTGGCTGTATTTATGTGCACCCTGGAATTCTACAGGTACCACACTCACGAGGTCCTCCCCTCTTGTGTAGACTGTTCTCAGAAATGCAAACCCAGCTACAGAAATTTTCCTACAATGGCACTTGGGGAACAAACCCAATCTCTCCCAGAGAAAAATGAGCTTGCATAAAATAACTGCTACACAATGCTCTTCAGAATGCCCTCTCCTCCAGGACCGGTACCATCATGTTAGGATGGTGATACTTTCTATACAGCTTACTGCTCTCTCCATGGTCTGCCCAAGCTTTAAGCTCTAGATCATTTCCTTTTGAGTGGTAATGCATTCCTTTTAATCTAATACAGGATACTAACAAACTGGCATTAAATGCTGCCATGATGGGTGCTTTACAAATATCTGCTATAGAAAGCTGGAGACCATACCTGCAAGCTATGAGCTGAACTAAGGACATTTTCTTACCACCATGCCTCTTAAATATATTTTAGGGCTTATATGGGAAAGAGAAGGCCACTCAATCTACCAAAATAGTGTCTATGTTCTCAGCACTGATAGAGTTGGTTACTTTTAGTTTAGTGTTCAGAATTAGCAAAAGCTGCAGGAGTGCTCAACAGCAGAAGATGCTGCCATGCTAGAAGATGCAATAGCAGGTGAACACTGTAGGTTTAGTGCACACCTCAAGAGACAGAATGTGGCTGTGCTATCGCTTACAAATAGTGTGAAGCACCACTGTAAATTACCACACAGCCCATCTGACAGCCTCACCTGGCAGCCTGAAGCACGATACGCTACATAGAACTGCTGTCTCACACAAAGGTACTCATTCTGCATACATTTCATTTGCAAAAGAAAAAATTGCAGCACCGTAGATCTCTGGAAGGCAGCAATTGTGTTTCACCCAGATCAGGTGCACCGCTGTAAGGAGAACGTGTGGCTCTGGTTGGTAGCCTTTTGGCAGAGCTGTCCCAGAATCCTCACAAGTGTAATGTAGGGAAAATTAAACTCCCTGCTCAGAGATGAGCTGCTCTTCTAGCAGATGATGGAAAGAATATTATTTCATCAACTAAATCACTCAACTTAACTACCTGCACCTCTTTTTCAGCCTCTAGTATGCCTGGATCAGACACATTTCATTCTTGGCAAGTGTAGCCAGAAGCTGCTGGTGACTAAAGCAAGGAGGCCTGGGGTAAAGCTGTGAAGCAGGAACTGGGGTGGCTGCTTGGTACTGAGCCCTTAACAGCCGGCATGCTCGGTCCCATCAAAGTGCTGTGGCTCACAGCAAGCTCTCTGTCAATACCCTGACAATGCTGCAAGAGATTTGGTTTAGCGATACTGAAGTTGTCTGAGCTTTCTTTTGCAATGGCCTAGCTGGAAAAAGGAACGGGAGTATTTTAGGCAAAAATCTCTAGCACTGTTACATTCATACATTCCATTTCAACATTATTATCTCCTTGATACCATGAGGTCCGATTTTAAAATGCTGGTCACCAGTGATTACAAATAACAATAGAAACAAAAGAGCAACCCTCCCACAATGAAAGGTCTAGTGTTAAATCCCATGCGTGTGTGTAAACTCACTATAGATTTACAACTGGAATCTGATGAAGTGGATCTGAATCACTTTCTCACCCTCCCCTTTTCAGACCATTTCATCAGCAAATCAGGTTAAATCAAATGGAAGGTGGGTTTCTTTTAATTGTTATTTTGCTTTTTTTTTTTTGTATTGTGTTTTCTTGGTGTTTTTTTTTTTTGTTTTTTGCAATTGTACTATTACAGCCTGATCTGATTCTGGGACCACAATTTGTATCCCTGCGGCTTTTTCCTCAGTCCATGGCATTGGCAAGTTACTGGGAGGAAGCTTTTGTGGCCAACGTGGCGACGCAGTGCTGCTGGAAGCTGGGGGACACTGCTGAGTTGCAGCCTAGTCTCTGGTGTTGCAGTTTTACTGAGCTGTTGGTCTCGCTCTCCACAATCCAGGAGGAGTCTTTTCCCATGACGCTGAGACAGCCTGTGCTCGCACAGCATATCCGCTCGTCCATGATCCCGCCGGTCTGCTCAGCCAGGAGCTTGCTACGGTTTAGCTGGGTCACCTCAGGTGCCTGACCCTGCAGGACAGCAGCTATGTGGTTCAGGAGATCTGTGAAAAACTCGGAAACGCCCTCATAACCTGAAAAGGGGAAAAAAAAAGAAGAGGAAGAAAATGCAGCTGAGTAGTTCCTGCACGTTCTTTGAATGGTTCTTCTCCCACTTTATTTCTTAGGCTGTCTTCGACCTGCCACTGATAATAAAAAAGCTTTTTTCCATGATGCCACTGTGACTGAAAGCACAAGCAGGCTAGCATAAAAGGGAACAGAGACCCTTGCTGCTAAAATACTTCTGTCCAGACAGTTCAATAAGAGGCATTAGATCACTTCTCAGATTTTCTGCTTCCTTTTCCTCCCACATACATATGTATATATACAATTTTAGGTATATCCTATCATTTGTTTCCAAGTCCAGCTTTTCCCCTAAGTTACAAACTCTGTGTTGTAGCACCAATTTTCCGCACCCCACTGCTAGGATTTACTACAGAAACTTGCTCTAAAGCCCAGGTTCCTTGAGGGTCCATACCCTCTATAATTTCCCAGCAACCTCTCAGTTAGGGGAACCTCAAAGAAGGGCAAAGCAGGCCCTGCTCCCTACAGAAAGGCAGTATCTGATTGAAAGAAGCAATGCGGTGCTTGTCTAATCTAACCTAACTTAGTACTCAAAACATGTTCCCTGCTATGAACAATGTCTAAAAACACAGTCAAGGAGACTAAATATATTTAAATGATGCAGCATTGGGCAGAAACAGCAGGATCTGGGGTCAGCACTGAAACCAACTTTCTGCATGGTTCTGTTAAGAGACTCCCAGACAATTCATACTGAGAGTTTAACAACAAGTGGCTAAAACAGATGGTCAAATAACAGGAGATACTACATTCTTTGTGACAGCAGGTGTGTAGAGTCTTGGTTTATTTTAAACTCTGGTATAGACACAATTTTATTACTACAATCATTTTAAAATTGAATCAGACATGCCACACATCTATATAATGTCTTGAAATGGACCTTAGCCACTACTGCATTAGCTGAAATTGGTATCAATTTGATTTAGTATTTAGAGGTGATGTGACAGTCAGTGTATTAAATGGGCTAGGCTGATTGTTTCTGAATGCCTATAAAAGTACTTTGAAGGTGACCTAATATTAATACAGGAGACTAAAGCAATAAATGGCAGTTTAAAAGTTCCACGTGAATAGCACACATTCACACAGATCAGCATGGTAGCAGAACTGCAGACCACAAATAAATGCACATTTTAGAACACTTTTAGTAACACGACTAAAGGGCAGAAGAGCCATAAATAATTCAATTTGAATCTCCCTTCTTCTGTGAAAGCCAAATTCCTTTGGCAATAAGAAACCAGCTTCCTGAAAAACACAAGGTAAGAGGACAATTTAACCTTGAGATAAATGTGGTGGTTTTGTGGGGTATTTATAACCCACACGTTAACTAATTAACTCTTACTTAGGCTGCCACATTGCTTTGGATTTTACTGCACTCACTCACAATTCTCTTAGGTACTCCCAAACAGGTCTCATACCTCTACTGGTTTGTGTGATAACAGCTCCCAGTTTTCCTGTCTCAAGGAGCCTTACACAGATTCAAACAATTCAGCTATTTAAACCTGCCAGTGGCCAGTGACCCACATTATAACTCACTCATCAGCCAGGGACAACCAAGGCTCTTGCAGCAGGCCATGGGAGCCAGAACAAGAGCTCCACCTCTCTGATAGAGATGCTTGTTATGCTTTCTTGCTTATGTAAAAGACACGGGATTAGCCTTCAAATCTACTCAGAGTGCTCCCGGCTCCCTGGGAATAAGCCATCTCCATAGTAACAGCTTTAATATTCAGAGAGGAGACCCATAGACCCTAGATGGTTTTACGTCTGCTTGCTGAAAACAAACCAGCCTTGTCTGAGGGCACATGGTAAACTCACAAAGAAGTTGCTTTAAATATTTAATGGGAATAAGAAAGCCAGTTACAAAGTCCTGAAATCAGCAGATGTTATAGTGTAAGGAAGCTATCTATGCATTTCATACATTTGCAGTGCCAGCCCACTGCACACTGCATGGAAACACTCAAATAATTCTGCTTGGTCACTGAGAAGAAAGTTCATATAGCAAAAAAATATGTATAAAAAAATACAACGAAGGGAGGAAGAGGACCAATGTCTCAGTTCCTGATCCACGAGATGGGGATGGCTGCAAACTGTCAATATTGGCTCACCCTGTTCCTTGACTGCTGCTGTACATCTTTCAAAATGACAACTGTGGGACATCACTGTGCTGCAACAATAAGGCATCAAGAAGGGTAACTTAAATTATACTTTCAGAAATTACTGGCAACAAAGTCAGGGCTCACGTTACACAGGGAATCAGTCAGAGGACCCAAGTTTTGCACACCTAAAACACAATCTGTATGGATCATGCTCCTGCAAGCACTACACTAACATAACCCTCTGAAACCACTATGGAAATACATACCTGTCAGCGTGAAGTTTGCATTTTGCTGTGATGAAAACAGAAAACAGTCTCTAGTGTTCTCTGGCAGAGCACAGATAGGAAGGAAGTTTGTCCAGGAACTCCAGAGAAAACAAGCACCCTGTCTACTTGAGCTTTGCAGAGCCACTAAGTGCCCACGAGCACTTTTAAGCTAGTGTTACAGATATTACACTCCAGAATTTTAGCAGACTTTCCTTACGCTGGCAGTTACTCTGGTTTTCTTCATCTTCCCTAGGGCAAAGAGAACTGGATAGCCCACAGCCTGCATTTGTGGCAGTGTGCTCATATGCACAAACCGTGTGCCCAGACCCAGTGCCTTGCTTCCCAGCTACCACATAAGAGCATACAGAACAGCAGCTCACACACCCTGCTGGCAGGCTGCTGCTCAGGCTTGCTGAGATCAGCTGCTCTGATGCAACAGCAGGCTTCATGGAGCCCTTTCTCTGTTACCTGAGGTCAGACAAACATAAAACCCACATGCTACGTGACAGACCTACAGTTAAATATCTCAGCTGGTAACCACAGCTAAATATAGCCCAGACAGTTTTCTATATAACAGGAGACACAATAGGGCTTTTAGACATTTATGTTTAACGCCTTTCCAAACTGCCACTAATGCTAAATGAAGTAGATAACAGACAACATCCTCCTCCAGGTATATCTGCTCTAAAGTTAAATTAATCTCAATATGATATCCATGAATTGGCAAGGTCAAATGAGCTCCAAGCTGGGTAGACATGAAAGAGAATGCACAAGGAAGCCAAGCCTCTGGGCAGCTGAGGAAGGCTGTGGTCAGGCCTGGCCCCAAGATGCAGCTTGAGCTCCATGAAAGAGGCTGAAAAGACACCTCTTTCTCTCCCTCCCCACTAAGCAGCAGTACTTCAGGTCCCCAAAGTGTCTAATTTGGCTTCCATTTGGATCTACTGCAATCCTTCCAGGACAGAAAGATTCGAGGAAGAAGCAAGGGAAAGCCCCTTCCACGGATTGCATGGTTTGAACCCACTGCTGACACAGCCCATCAGGGAGTCCTTTGAGCAGTGCTGATTTTGAGCTTCTCATTAGCAAAGAGTTGGCTCCATTGATGAAGTCAGTCCTTGCAGCTGCTCATCTTTGAATCAAACTGGCCCACGGAGGGAAATGCATCTGCCCTGGCTGAATGTGCTTTTGAGCAACAGGGATACATCTCTATGTTGAGATGTAAATTTTCTTCTGTTGAATTTTATTCCGTTACTTCTCCTCCATTCCTAGCAGCTTTAAGATCAGTCAATCTCTCTCTCAGTTCTGCTGTCTTTTACAGATTTGAATATTGCTTTGTTTACCCCCAGCCTTCTCTTCCATATGTCTGGTCCCTGCTGTTGTCCTCTAGACTTTCTCCAAGCAGTTTTCAACACCCTCTGCCATGCTGACAGAGCCAATAGCTATCTTCACTACTCACAAGGTCACTATAAAAAAAATATCCCGTGTGTGATAAAATGCAGAATTGTGCACAAGAAGCTTTCCTGTGCTCTCAAGTATCTTGAAAAGAATGCTAAATTGATGTCTATTCAAAGCCTAATTAGTGTACAGATTGAAATGCAGGACTTGCATTGAATATCAAAAACTGTTGTCTAAAGATAGACATACAGCAGAGCACAAGGCTGCAGGCAGTTCTGCAAGGTGATGCCACTACAAGGAGACATTATATCTGTTTAAGTTGCTAAATTTGCCACTAGCTGTTGCCCAGTCTGGACTTTTCAATGATTCAAGAAATTGAGTAGTTCAGTCTGTGCAAAGCACCGAATCTGAAACAATACCTGCAAATAAAAAAATCGCCTAAAAGTACAGAATGCAAAATAGTGTAAAATGCAGGATTGCAAAGAGATGTCCTGCACCACTCATTTCAATATCCAGTGTCTGAAACATGAACCTTTTCATAAAACTGATTTGGCTCTGACTTCTGATTTAGGTAGTTTCATTGCTCTTGGCAGAAGACAGTTTTCATGGGTTTGCAGACTGCATCAACAGCATATGGTGGAACCAAGCAGCAAAGTCATCTGTGAATAGCAGGGCTGAAGGTTTGAGAGGAAGCCAGTCACAGACAGGCAAGGCACAACAGGGCTGTACTGGGATTGAGGACTTGGATTGAAAGATTAAGAAGATTGGTGATTTAAGGCAAGACTTCTAGATGTGAAGATATCTCAGTCATACTGAAAATTCAATGATAGGCTAAACAAACTATGCAACAGCCTGGCTATGTCTCTGAAAATAGACAAGACTATTCAGGTAATGATACAATATTTTCAAAGAGAAAAATGCCATGTAGAACAGCATCAGAGATTATGTAATCTTTTCCAATGTTAGGTTACCGAATCTAGCACGGGTAACAGAGCATTACTGTCTCCTGTTATACACACTTGTAACTCCTAACAATTTCAGTGGTCAATGATTTTGTTTAGCTGCTTCCAAGACATACGATGCACTAAAGAAGTGGACAAATCTTCAAACGTGCATTCTATTGTTTTATTCCAGGATACACTTATGAGAGCCTTCAAGGATATTTAAGACTTTATAGCAACTCCTCCGCAAATGCAATCTTCCTTAGATTCCTCCTGTTGTTGCTTTTGTGCACAAGACGTCTTTCCACAGGAGAATCAATTTGCACAGGAAGAGATTTTCAAGGGAACACTTTGCTACTTCCGCCCCCTCAACACTTTTAATGGTACAGAGTCTAGAGAAAAATAATCTTAGAGGCTCTCTTAAAATAGAATTTATTCTCTCTTCACTTTGAGAATGAAAGACAGACCTAGAAAGTTCAAGCCCCAGCACACAGCCCTGTGCTTCAGTTCCTGAGCAACAGCATGAAAGCCACACAACAGCTAGTCACTAAACTTTGACTGCATCTCCTAAAAGCTACTATTTCAGTAGCACAGTCCATATCTACTCTAGGGTTTTGTCCTTTCTAGATTAAACACTGTCTGATTTTGGTACAGTTCTGCATGCCACTCTCCCTTTCCCCACCTGAGAAATAATTATGAGACACTGGCAGCAAAACTTCACACTAAGCACACACTGCATGGCTTCTGCATAGCATGAGTAGAAAGGCCTTTCTCACCTGGGAATGCATTTATATCAATGACTGCATGCTGCCCGGTCTGATTGTTGATGATGATATCGATTCCAAAGAGGGAAACTCCCAGAGCTTGCCGCAGCGCCTTAGAGATTTCCCGGATGACGTCATCATCTGGCCGCTCAAATACTCCTTCGATTTTATCCAGCTATAGAGGAAAAGGACACATTACTAACTGAGTTGAAGCAGTCTTTTAAGTGCAAAGATTAAATTTCATTTCCAGGTCTAATATCCACCAAACTGCAGAGAACTGGTAGCACAAAAGAGAAACAACAGGAACTTTTTTAATAATTTAGAATCCTACATGCAGCAGAAGCTCACCTACTCTAAAGCTTCTAGTTCTTTGTTTCATATTGGTGCAGTTCCTTAAAATAAGCGACAGTGTAGGAATAAATGGAGAATCACTATTTTAAGTACTAAATCTTTACCTTACAAAAATAAATTCAGCCAGCCAGTTCAACCCTGTGCTGCAGCTGTTCTGGATACACTTCTGTTATTACAGGTAGATTATGGCCTGCCTGTGGGACTGATAAGACTTGTACCTGCTAGCTTCATCTGAACTATACAGCACAACTCTGGTGGTATCTTCAAGGCAGCAACTAATTCAAAGTGGATAGCTTTTGTGTGAATTTTCATCTATAAGTTATTCTACAGACGTGTACTATCAAAAATAATTTAAATTACTTATGACTGGAAGATGTAATTTTTTCACGTTTTAAACAAGAGATTATGCAGCAGAAGCACACTGGTATGCTTACAGAAGTGTGCATGGAATATGTATGTGCATGAGAGAGGTGGCAGGTAAACCACAAGAGCGTATTCTCTACATAAACTTAAAAGTAAATTTACCCACAAAGGAATTTACAACTAGCACAATTACAGCTTTAAAATTTTACACATGCACATCTTGCACACAATTTAAATTAATCATTGCTGACTACAGAACTATTCCCACATAGAGCTTGTGAAACAGAAAAGAATCTGAAGACTCAGATTTAAAGGACTCAGTCCTGCAAAGTGACTTTCACAGCAGCTGAGTACCTGAGGCCTTATGTGGATTCATATGTACAAAGCTTATTAAAAAGCCTGGTAATGTGAGCATTAATCCATGCCACCTGCTTACATGATTGGACTCAGAAGACCCCCAGAAATGGTCCTGCAGCAGCCAGCAAAGCCTACACTGCAGACAGCTACTGATCCTCTATGGCCCTGTCCAATGCATTTTGTCTGAATTTTCACCATTTGTCTTTCCTCACAGAACTGAGGATGGTTTATGCTTATGAAGCTCTCTAGACAGGGAACGGGCAGATATCTGTATACAGAAACTTCTTCCCTTTGTCTACACTGGCTTTGGGAAGTTCAGGCCTGGTGTGTAGCAGACAGGCCTGCTGATCAGTGCTTTCTCACCAGAGCTCAGTAAGGAATACCAGAGGGACACACAGCCATGCTGGTTCATTATACTGAACAGACCTCAGCCTGCAACATGGAGGCAGACAACTTAAGGAGAGCTGCTAGCTACCAGCACTTTGATAAGAAAGGACTAGATAGTCTTCCAGTTATGCTAGAGGAAAAAGAACAAGTATACTTACCGCTGTTAAGACAGATGATGATTCTGGCTTTGAGACATTGTGGCTGTTGAAGAATATCGATTCTCTGTCTGGAATTAAAAGAAGGTTGTAAATAACTGTATAGAGGATTTTAATTTACAAAGGATGAGTGCAAGGAACAGCAGATGGCACTGCAGCCCAGGGAATCCAGTCTTGATCAATACTAGATAGTTCCCTGAAGTGTGATCCAACTCACAGCTTGGCTATAAGCATAGGCAGCAAAACATGGCCCAGGCCAGCTGTGCTTTCCAGACTTCAGCCCTCAGTCAAATAGAACTATGAGAGGTTAATAAAAACTAGTTTTGATTCATCTATTAAACAAACTCAATTAATAATGAAGTTAATTTCTATCAATTTGATACATTCAATATGACTTCTCAGATCAGAAAGGTTGCTGGCCTCTGACATTTAAGAGCAGCCAGAGGGCCACATAGAATAAAGACGGGAGAACCATGAAAAGCAAACTTAAATCCAGTCTGAAGTCTGAGACCATCATGTACTCTTCTTGCCTTTCCTCCCATTCAGAAAGGCCCTGTACTTTCAGATAGTCAGCTCCAGGGAGTGTCTCACAACCGTCAGACCTGTTAGGTAGGTACTTATAATACGGAATTCTACTGAAATGGGAAAGAAAGCCAGAAACTTATCCTAATCTGCCCACCCAATGTATTTTGCATAAGCTTTCAGACAACCTTAAGGTTTTACACTAATGGTATGTCTTAGCAGGCATACTTAAGATGCTTTAACATATTCTCTTCCAGCAAAACCACAGCCAATCATAGTATTTTATATGAACACAGCCTACTTCATTTGATCAGGACACACAGCACACCTAAGAGTAAACATATCCAACCTACTGCCATACGTACCCCCAGATAAGGTCTTTTACCAGGATTCTACTGAACTCCACATAAACTAACAAAGTATGTCCTTGTGTGTGGAAACAGTAATGAGCACACACTGATATATTAAGATCAGCAGAAATCACTACAAAAAGTCACGAGAAATTGGCACTTGTTTGTTCATCTCCTTCAGCTTGATCTCTCTCACTTCTGCTACCTGCTGGATTTTTCCACTTGCAGGACTCCATCCACCATGAGCTCCAGGGAGCACCAAGCACCTTCACAGCCTGTGTGCACTTAGTGTGGCGCAGCCTGAAGACATCTTTGTCTAAGAAAGACCCTGTCTATGTTCATATTTCTGCTCACTGATAGAGAGATCCATGCCCTGCTAATTTCTTCTTGCTTCTGATGTCCCACAGAATGTAAATCTCAGGCCCATCAAGGGGAAGGATTTTTTTTTCCATACAGGATATTTTAGAATCTTCTAATGAAAACCTTTCACGTGACTGCTCTCTAGTGACATATAGGAGGATCACTGTTCTTAATGACAAGACCATTCCTCCTGTTCTCCAACAGCTGGTATCCACAAAACAAAGAGACTTGCACCGAGGTTTACAACAATGGGCATCATATTTCGGGGAAAGCACAAGTGATTTTGAATTTAAACACACATATATAATCAAGGTAAAAATAGGGAAAGGAAGTTCTGGAGTCATGTAATCCAGGAAATCCTCTCCAAAGCACATTTATAAACAAACTCCGGAACAAATAATGTGACCTTACTAGGAAATCAGAGAATTTCTCTGGCTCCACACTTCCACATTACACAAGACACTGTTTCTAACAGGTAAGACACTGTTTACTGTTCCATAAATATTTACTATATAAATGTCATTCATATATATTCCAGAGTACGTGAGTTATCCCCCTTCTTACTGAAATAATACAGAAGAAATAACATAAGAACCAGATGTCTTCGTTTAATCAACCTTCTTAAAGACTTTTTTTGACCTTCCTTTGAGCTGTTTGTTGCTAAGGCTCTAAGAACAATCGCTTCCTTGTAAATGAGCACCATATACCTGAGATTCCAGCAGAGAAGTTCTTTAAAGATGGTCTTTTCACCACTGTGTAGGATTCCCCAACTACAAACACTTTATACAGGACAGCATTGTGGTTGATGAAGCTCTGAATGACGCAAGGGGGGCGGACAGCTTTCAGACCCTCCTGGTTGAAGATGATCGCCATCTGAAAACACACACAGTTGCACACAAATCTTTCAATAACTTTATATTCACCAACAAGCAGTGAGGGAAAACATCTACTGGTGGATATATGTTGACCAAGTGTGAATCCCTTCTCAGCAGCAAGTCAGTTTCACTGACACAAACTCTTCAGACGCAAATGGCAGCATAACTTTCATTTTCAATGAAAATTTTAATCTCAGCTCTTCACAATTTCATTTACCCACTCTATTAAGAATGCTACTGGAATTTTTTAGAAGAAAAAAAATGATAAAATATGTGACCATTATAGCCAACCACATCTGTGCAAATACAAGCTTGTATCATGAGAATAACAGAAGTGTGAAGACGTAGGTCTGTGTTCTAACAATAGAAGTTTTTCTCTGCAGCAGTATTTCCTGTGGTTTGGGTCAGTACAGTTGCAGTGTCAGAAGCAATGGGGTTTCACCCACATAATCAGGTAACTTTTTTCAGCATCTAGTATCTCTTATTGCTAGGGAATTTGGGGCCAATGGTTTTCAGTTTTGACCCATTATTCCAGATGCGTGGTTCTCTTGAAGGAGCTGTAAAAAATATGCCCCAAAGGAAGTCATTTATAGGGCCTTTATGATCAACACCAGGTGCCTCAAACAATGGATTTGATGCTGGATGGTGCAGAGAAGTGTTCTGTCAAGCCAACATATCTTCAGCATGTTACACTGTTCTTTGCATAGAACCTTCCACCAACTCACTTGCGTGCATATCTAATTATCATAAGCACTGTTTCCCCTCTTGCAGGTTTGTAGATGGGATGCAAATGTGTCCATGGCTCCAATGCAGAAATGGCAGCAAGCACTGTTCTGGCACAAGCTGATGAAGTTACTTTATACCCAGGTGCCCCTAACAGCTGTGAGGATAAACTTAGGTTTTTTCCCTAACCTAAAATTCCTGAGAAAGCTATGCTCTCATTATCTGAACAGGAATCTCTCATCTTTTCAGTAATGCTGGACCTTGTTATCCAGAGACACACAAGAAAATTTTGTCAGTCAGATCAATGAGTAAGGACTAACTAAGGCCATAGAATCTGATGTCAGGTTTATCTCTCTTTCCTCTGAGCACATTTCCCTTGCACAAGTTAGACCATCTTTGGGTTTGACAACCGTAGAGCTGTTAAGGCAACAGCTAACCTTCCACCTCTTGTGCATCCTGCACTGAATGAGGTAGATGCAGGCACAGGATTTGCCATAAAAGTTCCTTAGCTCTAAAAATGAGTTTTCCTTCATCCCTATTAGTATTTTCTCCCTATCCTCTTTAGGCCTAGTCTTTTACTTGGTATGTAGAACAGCCCAGAGAGGTCAGAGAGTTGTTGTGGGACCCACAACAACTCCACAGCAAGGTACAGAATAACACTGGAGCTTCTTGCCTTGGCATGGTGCAAATGAGTTATCTGGCCATGTGCTTCCAGTCAGTTTTTTGTACCTTCTGGCACAAGCTGTATCTTTTCTGCTTTATGTTCTCTCACTTCTCTTTGTATTATATATGATCAGCTACTCATTTGCTGTACATTGTACAGCATACTGAATTCTTGATAACATCTCTGTCCCTGCATTAAAAATAGTAAATTTAATAGATTTTGTTGAAAAACACAGGCATGGTAAATGATGCAGTGACTTCACATTTATAGTTAAAAGTCTGAGCTTTTTTTTTTTTTTTTTTTTTTTTTTGTCTTTACCTATTTAATATTCTGCTTTGCTCCTTATCTGGTAGACCACATAGGATCACCAAACCATCTGTATATAAGCACAATGACTAAGGAGATTAACATTTTCTAAGTTCATGTCAGTATAAGCATTCAGTACCCACTTGCAGCTGATACTCTTATGCTGTCTCTGTTACAACAGATGCCAGCTGTTTGACACACAGACTGAATTTGTGTCTGGTGATAACCTGTGCAAGAAACCTACTGTAACCAGCAGCATTGCCCATCAAGATGATTCACAGCGATAACATCATTTGCCTTTCACTGGTGGCAAGAACCACTTTTCTCCTTGTGCAAAGACAGTTGCCTTTAAAATATCTACAATATCATACTGGTAAAAATGATGTTGTTCTTATCCTTCAAGTGTTCTCTGCAAATAATTAATTCCTGGAAACCACTCCTTCAGGTACTTATCACTATTTTTTTTTTTCTTTGAAGTGTGAAACCCAGAGAGTTTATATTCTCAGCACAGAACTGACCCAAACTACTAGAAACCACATGAAACCTTTCTTCTGCAAAGCTCTGTCTTGACAGCCCCATGGACTAGCATACAACCCATTAAAATCCCATGGTGCCGTGTTATGCTGGTTCACTGGGATGTCTCATTCCTTCAGCATGCATGAATACAGATCCAGGAATTTGCTTGCAGGGTGTGCTTCCCCTTTGTCATCCAGCACAGACCTGCTCTATCTAGCAGTAAGGTGGGAATAATACTTTGTATCATAATTTTCAAATGGCATTACTTGTTACAGATGCAGAGCTCTTCTAAAGGCAAAACAAAATATCTGGCAGCAAGAAATTGTAATGCCAATGTCTTTAAGGACTTCAGTCTGAAAAAAAAAAAAACAACCACCCACAGTGATTCCCTACTTTTTTATTCCTGTGTGCTCAATATTTAGAAAAATACACATTCTGGACATGTTTTTTCACATCATGGGTCTTAGTGACGTCAGCTTTACCAAAGGACAGTTGTGTTTTGACCTATTAGCAGCTGGGAAGGAGAACCATTAGGCACCATCTCTGTTCAGTTTCTAACAGAGATGGTGCTGGCGAAGTGGGGTTCAAATGCTGAGCTGATGCAATTTGTAGTACAGAAGCCATGTGGAACTGTGGGACACGAATACTGACAGCACCTGACCCAACTAGTTTATGCATTCACAGCAAAATATGAAGTCTGCCAGACAAGGCTGGCACCAAGCCCAAATTCAAGCCTGTACCTTCAGCCGTCCCTGCTAGCCAATACTTGATCTTTCTGAATAGTCATCTTATGAAGAAAAGCAGATTTCTGACCAGATTGCATTCTAGTTCAATTCAGTGTCAGCTTTGCAGTGGGAATATCTCTACAGCAAATTATGCAAATTACCAAAAGCCATAGGAGGAGCCATTAATAAAACATGCAACCATTTCTTCTAGACCTACTATCTTTGAGACAGACTGTACTGTAAACAAGACTATTTATTCTGCACTTCCCTTGCCATTACTGCTCATAAAATAACATTTACAAGACAGTTCTTCTCTGATTATAATTTTGGATCATTCCTGAGAACACAGCAATTTCAAAGTTTACTAAATATGTAAAATGCCATGCTAGACTTTAGACATTTTTCCAGGAGATCCTTTTTTGCTCTAGTCGTAAGTTCATGTGATAAAATGCAGCTTACAATTATATTTCAGTCTAATTTTTGCTCAGAAAATGCAATTCTGGTGGAGGCACATCTGCACAAAGGAAATATTCACCAGGGAAACGAAAGTCAAGGCCTAATTGGACAGGCCTTGAAAGCTTCACGCATTCCAGGATGCTCTTGCAGAAGAACACTACACAGAAAAATCGACACAGAACCAAGTCTTAAATTCATTAACGACCCAGTCCCAAGTGCTCTCAGGAATAACAGCAAAAATTCGTAGCAGCTGCTCCAGCAAGCTAACAGAACTGTCTGTCATGCTTGTAAAATGATCCAAGCTAAGCTTTAATGAAAAACCTAGCTACATTTTTTAAAGCGTTGTCCATTCAGAAGTTCAGCTGTAGGCATTCTGTTCATCTAGACTGGCATTTTACTTTCAGGCCTTCACTTCCCAGAGATGCTGCAGCAACATACTGCACATTTCAGGAGCAGCTGGGAAACCTGGAACAGTGACCACATTGCTAACAAAGGAAGCCAGGCGTTCTTGAGCCAGCAGGGAGGACAGGATTCTTAAAACTGAGCTGTGGTATGCAGGAAGGCAAGAAGCAAAAATGGAAAAGAATTAAATCAGGACTCGACTTGCCTAAATTTAGAGGAAGCTAAGCTCACAGAGAATGCACTCCTTCCAGGAATACATAACCATTTTAACTGCAACTGCCTTACGGGAATGAGGAAAAGCAGATAATGCTATCAGTTCCGTTCTTCCCACAGCTTCAACCACATTATTACAACTGAACATGCCTGGAAACAGACACTATTTGCTATTCCTGTAGTTCCACTAGAATCCAGTCTGCCTTTATTCACATCTCCGCTTCATCTACAGCACAAAACCATTTCTTACCAGTACTATGTATATTTTGGAGGGGACGCATGGTGGGGCAGAAACTCCCACCCCCTGGTGTAACCTCCTGCCAGATGAGACAAAGGAGATGCCTTGCAGACCGAGCTTGACAACAAACTGTTGGAAGCAAGTGTACAGTTGGACAAGTAGCATGGTTAGGCTGGTACTTTACAAGTATTATAGTCAGAAAGATTATTGTGCTGAAAAAGAAACAACCCAGGAAGAAATGCTTACCTGTATCCAAGGATACAGGTTCATGGTGGAAAACTCCAAAAAGAAGGAATCTTCAGAAAGAGATCCTTCCCCAGTGGTAGTCAGCCCTTAAATGGGGTCTAGGAGTTTGCCTTCACCTGTGCTCCCACGGCTGACCCAGTCCTTGCCTCAGGTGCTCAATCAGTGGTTCAGGCCATGACTCAACAGTTCCCATGCAAGAAAACTAGATAACAGAAGCTTGAAACTGCTACAGTGAGCTTTTATATCAGGAGGTTAAAGATAGATTTGGCTATCTTTCAGTTAAACCTAAAAAATACTGGTGTTATTAAACCCAATGAGATGTGTGGGAAGGAGAGTGAAACCTTATAGCCCTTATTCTGCCTTCCTAAAGAATCAGAAAGCACCAGCCAAACCACTGCAAGAGGAGTGGAAGTAGAGCTGCAAGAGTTTTTAACTCACCTCATGAGAATTGGTTCCATGGGCCACTCTGGTTTTACAAACTAAATTAAAAAAAAGAAAAAAGCACCACTGAGACAGGAAACACAAAACCCTTACAAATCCATTCCCACCCACACTTACAACCACTGGAGGCACTGACTGTACCAGATAACACTGACAGCCACTGCTTGAACAGCATCCTCAGTCACTGCAAAGCTTAGCTTGCTCCGACCTCTGCTCTCTCACCAAACCCCCAGAACTGAGATCATTTGTAGGGTGAGACAGAGGTGGGAAGCTCAAGAGTTAGTATCACCACTGGTACTGCCAGCCTGCCCACTCAGAGGGCTTCTCCACACATTTGTGGTTTTGCTTGAGGCTTAAGAAATTTACCTGTACCACAAAAAAAAACACTGTCCTGAAAACAGGGGAGCTGGGACACATTGAAAACCAACTGCTTTTCCTTCTTCCCCCTTCCTGGGGAAGGACCGGAGACCAAATGGTCTGAATCAAACTAAGGCACAGTACATTTTTCCACAAAAATCATGGAGGGAGACACAGAAGCAGAGAGAGCTCAGCAGTTCTTTCTTCTCCATATTCCTTATCTGCTCTGTATATCTACGCAGTTCCCATTTCCATACCAAAACTGGTAAGAGGGAAGAAAAAAAATGTTCCTGCTATTGTGAAATCAGGAAAGAGCTGAAGATCCTGGGAGCCACATGATGTGCAAAGATAGTATTATTTATATGTTAATCAGAGGAGATAAAACTTGCATGTAGTGAGGAGGTGGACAGGACAAGACTTCTTTGGGGGCTGCTGGAAGAATAAAGCTGCCGGGCAAGAGGACAGGCAGCTATGAAAGATAGATGCCCTGCACTAGAGTCCAAAATAAGTTGTAACTGGACATTTTGGAAAGTGGTGCATGATGTCTGACAGACATATGCTCTGGGGAAGCAGGAGAATTTAGAAAAAAAAAAATAAATAAATAAAAGAATCAGAAAAAAGCATTCCCACAATGTCACTATTGTTATTTTTTTAATTTTATCATCATTTAGAGGGACTGGCTCAGGCCTTCTGAATACATAGAATCATAGAATGGCCTGAGTTGAAAAGGACCACAATGATCATCCAGATTCAACCCCTCTGCCACAGGCAGGGTTGCCAACCACCAGACCAGGCTGTCCATAGCCACATCCAGCCTGGCCTTGAATGCCTCCAGGGATGGAGTATCCTCAACCTCTCTGGGCACCCTGTTCCAGTGCATTACCACCCTCAGTGTGTACACAGATTACGCTGCTTGATACAATACAGGATCATCACTAATCAGCCTGTACTGAGAAGACAACGTACATGGGATGAGGAAGGGGTGTCAAAGCCACTCAGTGGGCTCTAAATTCCTGCTTTCCAGTCTAGTTTCAGGAGACTTTACCTCTGAACCTAACAAATGAGGCAAACACCAAGGAAACAAACACCAACTAACCAATTCAGCTCAGTTAATACCAGAAATAATTGAATTAAGGAAAAAATTAAAGCACAAGCCCTACAACAAAACCTGCTAAAAAGTACAAGATCACAGCAGCTACTTGAGCCCATAGGTCCCTGGAGCCTGCGATATACATTTCACACTTGTTCTTCCACCCTCCAAAATTATAATTTGCACCCTGAACCAAGGAAAGGGAGGGGTGGTGGAAAAATGGGCAGTCAGCAAGAGAATGATCTTCTCAAGAAAGATAATGACCATGGCTGGCAGGAGAAATCTCTTGCACAAGCTCAGGACAAGAGGCTAACTTTGTTAGAACTATTAGCATTTCCCAGGAACACATATTTACTGTAAAGTGGTGTTTAAAGTAATGAACATAAAAAAAATGCAAAACAAAAGCGGATAGGGAGGAATTTTATTCCACATTCCAATCAAACTGTTTCAGAGCATCTGAATTAACAGCCTGTACACTCTGGCAATGAAACACACTCTCCTGCAATGTTGGCCACGATGTTCTTGGGGGAGTTTGTGGAATATTGCAAACCTAACTGAAGCACCAATTCAAAATCCATATACATACTGAATGGGAATGCCAGTCCATTCTTCTCTATAAGCTGCAAGGTATCTTCTCCACAGGCACTTGTCAGCTCCATAAAGGGTGGTGAACAGATCCTCTCATCTATAAGACAAAATGAGCCCAAATTAACATCAGGGGTTTAGCTTCTCAGCTGCATATTTACAGGCTCTCTTCAAACTAACTGCTTCTTGGTAGTTAGCTATACTTTATCAGTTGATACTAAAACATCAGAAAGACTATCAGCCAGACATGGATTTGCAATTCTGGAAACATTTCAGAAGATATAAGGCCAATTTTTGGACATGCTAAAATAGAAATACACAAGGCCTACATTTTCTCAAGTTAGTAGGTAGGCAAAAACCATTACTCACTCAGAAATACATAACTGCACAAGATGTAGCCAATGGAGTAAAATGACATAGGGACGTTAGCTGTTAGCATCTTACAGAAACCTGTATGGTTAGCAAGTGTGATGGGAGCAGGCAGTCTCTCAAAGCAGGGATTACTGGATTGCCGCTCATGCAGCAGATTCCAGTGTGGATGTATTTCAGGCAAGGTGAGAGACATGCAATACATCTCTTGGTTGAGACATCCATGATGAAAGCAGTGCTCATCTGGTTCAGCAAAGCTAGAGACAGAACACTGCTTTTCATGGAGAAAACCTTGGCAAAACTGTTCAGTGGACCTTGATTAAAGAGAAAAAAAATAAAGAAACCATGATAAAATTTAACAGAGTATTTGCTGTTGATGTTGTGCTTGTTCAGATGAGGTTGTGGGATGGCTGAAGTCAAAAACGCTCTCTTACTGATTCAGTAGATTGAACTGCCGTATGACTTATGTTCTGTTTGCTGTAGGAGAACTTTAATTCCCCATGGCATACAGCAGGAAGGTAGGGAAGGTATGGTAGAATTCAAAATGCTCAGTCATAAAACTGCACCTCTCAAGAGGGTTGGGTTGCAATATCAAGTGTAAAGAGGACCTTTGCTATAGCTACATCTCTGCAACAGATTAGTGATACCAAAGATTTTGAGACAAAAGTTTGACACACATTGACAAAATCAAATCAAGAACATCACACAGACAAGAGCAACCATCTAAATTAGCTCCTCAAAGGGGATAGTCTTAAAAATACTGTGTCCACTGAGTTTTAACTATAGACAGATTGACCTTGGAGTCACAAATGAGTTGTAACCTAAGTTAGCTGACAATATGGAACCACAGTTCAGAATAGGTTTGCCAAAAATCATTTACAGAACTTATTTGAAGGGAGACCATGCGAAAACTTTTTACATGATGGGAACAACTATACCTAGCAAACTCCAGTCACAGGTTTGTATCAGCCAGCATTTTTTCTTGAAAATAAGCAAAACATGCCCTACTAACATCCACATCAATACCAGTGAGCACAGAGAACCTAAACAGGTGGAGGCTACGCCATGCAGAATTTAGGAAGTACATGTAAAGTAAAACCCCAGTTAAAATCCACTCTATGCTCTCAGGTATTGCATATTTAGAAGCTACTTAATAAGCAGTGTCAGGATTAATACTTTTCATTTCATTTTAAATATACATTTATGCATTTTCTCTCATACAGAAGGGAAAATAGCAACACTGAAAATAAAAGAGAGGCAAAGCTTTTTATACTTCGATTCACAGATCTCAATAGCTGCTCCAGTGTTCTGAGAACATAGGAGAACTCTAGCCATTAGCAACACTGTTGCTACAAGAATTTTTCTCTGAAAAGACTATTTTCATACCTCCTAAAAGGAGCAGAAACATCGATGCTTTGAGGTCAACCTTTAAAAACTTAAACAAAACATCCCAGACTTCAAAGTTTTCAGTTTGCTGCTATGAAAACAGAAAGCAGCATCCAAAAGTGACAGGTACTGCAATATTTACAAGCCTCTGCCAGAGCGAAAGAAAGTTCCTTAGTTGGATGAATTTAAGGAATCAGATTTAGTTTACAGATACTTGGGAGCAACTTTGCCTTGGCAGCTCTCCCACCCATATGCTTAAGGCTCACAAATAACTTTACTTTCGGAGTGCAAATGAAGAGGGACGTATGGTTCCATCTCACTTCCCTCCACTGCTCTCCTCTGCAAACAGCCATTGGAGACAGGACGTTTTAGTGTTCCTGCCAATTACATGAGACTTGCATGAGGAGATGAAGAAAGGGGCAAACAGTAATCTCTTTGACACTGCACTTACAAAAGACCACCTGGATCAACAAAAATCATCAGAGAAGACTCTCAGCATCTCAAAGTGCTCCTGCAGACTTTGCACAGCAATGGCATTTTCTCCACCAAGAAGGCAATTCTAGCTCAATAAAGCTACTAGAACAAACCATTAATTCATGGCTATACCTGAGGACAAACAACACTCAACACAAGATTTCAGTAAGGCCTACAGCTAGGAGTGCTGCTCTGAGTTTAACTGCACACACTGCAATTCTGAAGGTGGCTGTCAGTTTATAAAAGTTCTCCAGCTGTCAGTGACAATCCTTTCTTCCCTCCAAAGGTGGCAAACAAACTCTGAAGCTTTCTCTCATCACTGGGCTCCTACTATCCAAGTGAGTGCAGTCTCAGCACACCTTCCCTGCCCTGAGGTCCAGGACAGACATACAATTCTATGTCTGAGGTTCAATCCCAAAACAGGGTTTAATCAGCACAAAATTACACCATACACTCCATGTGGTACAACAAACAGCCATAGGCACATGTAACTTTCCCTCCTCCTCCCACAGCAGACAGCAGCTACAGCAAAATCCTACAGAGCACAAATTGGGTGTGGGATGCTTGGCTGCTGCTGCTGCCTCTTCCCAAGCCAGTAGTGACCAGTCACCATGGGGAACCATTGTTAAAAAGGAAACAGTAAACACACAAACGAACATAACAGTCTAGAGGTGAGAATGAAAGACAGAAATCTGGCCCTACTGCTGACTCTGTGTTGACACTGACTCTTTGGAAAAGGCTATGGCATCTTCCATCTTTGGCGATGCACAAGTGCCCTTAGTTCTGAGGAGACTTACAAACACATTTTCTACGCTCTCCAGTTTGGATTGGAAAGCAGAACTCAGGCACTTCCTCCAGTGGGTGCATGCTTCGAGTCACACGGCCAGCAGATAACCATCGTTATCAGCCCCATCTTCACGCGGCCTTTAGTGAACAAAGATATCAGAAAGGAAAATCTCTCCACGTGCCAGAGGAGTGCAATGACAAAAGAGGCTACATTTGTAGGGCACGGTTACAAAGTGATATTTCTTTATTTTTTCCAAGTGCCTGGTAGTCTGTCAGAGACCTGTCCTTGGAAACTTGGCCAGGGCCTACAGGTAGGCCACGTCAACTTACAGCTGCCAACCTGACAGCAGTGAGGAAGGGCAGCTCAGACTTGGCAGGGTTCAGCTCCTGCTTCAGACAAGTACCAAAAACATCTGTAGCATTTTTTGTTGTTAGAAACAACACATCCTACCTAAATGTAAGGTCAAAATATCACTGTATCCTTCCTGCAATCTTTATCCTTAACGTTATGGTACGTTTTGGTACATAGTTTGTGGTATTCTGCTTTCTACATATTCTTTATATTCTTCTCTCTTCATGACTGTATGATCTCAGGTGGTTTCCTCCCTCCTTTCTTCTGAACTTCCTACATTTTTTCTCATCCCACCCAAATTTCTTCTCTATGTTATACTTTATTAACTGCCATTTCTGCCCTTCCATTGCTACCTACACCAAGCCCATCCCTCCCTCACCTCCACATGGAGACCATGGCTGAGATCACACTTACTGCAAACACAGAGCAACGGGTGATCTCTGAAGCCAGCAGGGAAGCAGGCACTACCAGGCCACAAGTGATGGCTGGGCCAGACAGTAATGGCCTCCTGCTATGCAGATTTGTGGCACCGGACATAAGTTTTGCCAGAGCAGTGATCCAATCCCATGGAACAACGTGGGCATTATTCTGGATGAAGTACAATGAGGGTAACAGGAGAGACTGGGATATAAAGAGGTGGAAGGTGCAGAGTAAATACTGGTTGGGAAAAAAAGTTTTCTGGCTTTGGGAACTGGCTGAAACCTTAATGCTTGGGGCTTGCTCAAACAAGAGGTAGTGAGCAGTGGTCTCCCCCACCCAGGTTCTGTGCACCACCAGTAGCCTGCAGACAGATTGCAAAACAATTACAAAATACCCAAGTCCCCAAAAGCAAGAAGGTATGAGAAGTCCAGAGCTGAATACACACTGCTATGCAGCAGGTAGATAAATCAGATAAAGGTACAGTAAGAGTAATATTTGTCTATTCTTAGTTTAACCAAACCTTATGTGATAATAAATGGAAACCACTGTGACAACACCATACAAGACAGGCCCTGGATGGTATTCAAGGAGGATCAATGGTCCTTGTACTATAAATGGTTATGAAGTACTGACACATAGGGCGGCTGTGAAAAAAGCCTAAACCGTAAGAACAAGACAAATCATAGAATATTTTCCTATTCAGATTTCTGCGGCCCTTACAATGCTGGAGATCTAAGACGACAAATAATAAACTCATTCTAATGCAGCACAAGAGAAGGCCTGGAGTCCCCTGGGTATGTTACAGACTTGCCCTGAAGCATATAAAGGTGTGACAGCTAATTCTGTTTAGCAATTAGAAATAGAGCGCTCTTGAGTTTCTCTCTGTGGCTGAAAAGGCTATCAGTTTTTTTCCAAAGAAACGACGTGCATGATCTCCACAACACACATAACTTTATACAGAGAAATGACAAAACTGCTCTTGAAAAGTGCTGGTCTCTGCTGTAAACGCTCATTAAGATAACTAGGACAACACCTGTGTCAAAATCAGCACTGGCTTAGATCAATCACCACCAAATGCTCACAGAGCAAATGTTAAGCTTTAAGCTATTTAAATGATCTGCAGCAGACCTTATCAAACTCTGAATTTCCTATTTTAGTGTGAAAAGCCACTCTAATATTGGCTCAGTGACTTGAAGATGCTTAAGCCTCTATAAAAATAGAGATGTTCAATAAACCATGTTTCACTGTAGCTTCCACCAGTTTGCACTGCTGCACTCTGCCCAGTTGGGACAGGGAGGATGCACAGCCAGTGC